TGTGCTCCGAAAGCCTAACTACTTACGGTCATCGATTTATTTCAGACCGGGGACCTGAGTATGCTGCCTTGCCATCCTCACATGTGTTACCCCTGTGGTTTGATCCCCTGTCTGTCTTCCCCACAGTTTCCAAGCACCGCTGGGGTCATTAGGAACAGATCTCATACTGTGCATATTGGAGCCTCTGCTATATTTCTGGCGAACTCAACTCATTTACTTTTAAACTGTGAGAGTTATCTTCTTACAGTCAAATAGTGTGATCATTTAGTGTTAGCTACAGTACTCTTACCAAAGGTCTGTTTTAAACAATCACTGAAGCACTGCTGCTCATACAGGGCTCACCTACCTTTGTACCTTAGCCAATGGCTATTTTGATCACAGGCAGACCCACCACAGTTCTATCATGTACAAATGTAAGAATGGTTGTAATCATTAGGAGACAATTGGCCCACCTTGCTCATTTGGTTTCTAGCACTTTATTGATTCCAGGATCAGGCCTCACTCTTCAACCTATTCCTGGAAGGATCGCAGGGAATGAATTCCAGCATGAATGGAGAGCTGGACCACTCTTTAGCAATTTTTTTACTCATCTTTTGTACAAGACTTAGATATGGTATTCTCCAGATGATGAGTCTTTAAAGCTAAAAGATTTCTAAATGACAGATATTTCTCCATATATCAGATTTATCCATATTGCCAGAACCTCAGTAGTTCCCTTGGTTTTGCGTGTCTGTTTACAGTTTCTGATTCTTTTACTTATAATTATTGTTTCTTTTCAGTTCCTTGTCATATGTCACCCAGTTCTTCAGAAATCAGGAGTCAAATTTTATTTTTGGCAATTCATTGCTTTGCTCTGTTTTAAAAGTGAATTAAAAATCTTTATAAAATGCATACTGAGGTACAGTGTACTGGCATTGCTTTTTATGTGCAATGCAGGGAGGAGAGAGTTCAATAATAAACAGAATGTGTCTCTTTTCAAGCAAATCCAAAACAATTACAATTTTCAATAGAAGGATGTCATCCCTGCCATGTAATTGGAGTCAAACTGACCCGCATTGAGAAATAATGGCTAAAAAAATCATTTGACTTCAAAGTACAAAAAAATGAAAATTCTGTGTGCATATATATCCATCAAATTACATTTGTATACTGTAAGACATGTATTGTCACTGGTATAACTGAAACTCAAGAAGTGGCATGCCTAGACTTTTTTGTGGTATAAAAATAAGGGTTGCTTGTCACTTTAACTTAGATTTATAAAAGAAAAAGAACCTTGAAAAACAGTGACATTCTTTAGGAAAACAGTAAAGTCTGAGTGGACAGCACAGTCATTCTTCAGTGAAAGATTCCATTTCAGCCTCAGCTGGCCTGCTTGTAGCAGCAAAATAGAGGCTCTTCTAATACAGACCTTTTATTAACAGGTGCATTGTTTAAACTACCTCTGGTAGTACTGCCATGTGGTCGCCTTTCAGCTCCGCAACTGCTAAGCAACTCTGGTCAATCTGCAGATATCACTCCTCTCCAGAAGGCTCAGACAGTGTAGAACACATACTGTATGCAGGCAAGGATTCAAGTCTCAATTTGGCAAAGACCTCTTTCAAGCAAGGGCTTCCCTGTAGTAGCAATTTTTTGCCTTTTTTTCCCTGTGTTCATTTGATAAGGTAAATGAATGCTGAGCCTCACTTCTGTGTTGTTTGACTCTCCTGCAACGCAAAGACACCACCACTTGTCAGGATTCTTTGATTGGATTGATCTCTTGACTGAACAAAAGGAACCAAAAGAGCCCAGAAAAAGTCTTTGGAGGTAAACTCCCTTAAGCTGCCCAAAGCAAAATGAAGAGGACTGCAAGAGTTCAAAAGCAGGCAGGATTTGCTGTTGTGCCCAAATACTGCTGGTTATAAAGGAAGCTTTAATGGAACCACTAAAATTAAAACAGACTTGTAGAATGACACCATTCTGCCCTGTATCTGTTATAAATGTTGATAATACATTTTCTTAACAACTATTGTCCATATTACTCAGAAATCTCACTCAGAAATGCATTAAGTATGATGTTCAGCTATAACAGAACATCAGTTCAGGAGATTATGTCTGACAGCAACAAAGAAAGAATAACTGAACTTACAAAAGGAGTAATATGTCCCTGTATGGCCTTCAAATAGTTGTTTTCTCTCCTTTAAAAAAATGTGATGATTTTTTTGTAGGTCTTTTAAATTTAAAGCTTTGACTGGTTTTTGTCCTACAAATGCATCAACTGTGATTCACTACTGTAAAAGCAACCTTTTTTTTCAACAAATCCATTTTCTGTTGTGCAAATCTGACAATTGGCAACACAAAAAAGAGGAACCATACTTCAAGAACTCTAAAGAAGTTTTAAAATAGCTCCAGATATGTTTCACAACAAAAATTAAAGAATGTCCCATCTATTTCTCATATCTGCATTCTCATAGACTAAACATGAGACTCGCCATAAAAAAATTTCAATGCAGTCCTTTCATACAGATGTTTTAGTAAGTTATTTCTGTAGAAGTACTGTATCTGTTGCTTCCTGTTATTTTGTGGTTTACGTGCCATTCTGTGCATTATTCTTTCTCAATATGATCATTTCTTATCCTTTTTATTAACTATTTTTATAAAAAGTGATTAAAAAAACATCTCTCCAGTGTGAGCACGTCATTTCAAAGATGTGTACAAGAATGTACCAAACTATTGTCTTCAGAAACAACGCCTGATGGTGGTCTAACTTCTGTTAGAAAATCTGTTTGACATGGTGGGGTGGAAACTGGGTTACCCTTAGAATTTATTTAGTTGTGATGATTCACATAACTGATTCTTAGGGAAAAGGTAGTGATAGGCAATATTTGGTTTTGAAAAAATAAAGTGGGGTCAGATGGTTTTCTTTAAATTCAACAACCTTTAATGAGACCTTTTTCTCTTTTGTGAGCTCTTGCATTTTGGGAAGCATTTTCAAAAAAACAAATCTCAGAATTCTTCAACTTCAGCAGCATTATAACAGCAGACTCTTCGAAAACCAACTGTGTATACATTATCATCACAGGGCTTTGCATTCAAAGTCTCTTTTTTCATATGAAATCAGCCCAAGATGATGAGGTGTTAAAACGTAAAAATAATAATAACAATAATAAAGAGGTTTAGCTCCTTTATATAAAATAATATCATTCACTCACTTAATTCAGCTATTGTATATGTACTCATCCATAATAACTATTTTACAAAACACTGATTCATTCTAGAAAAAACTTTTAAAGGTTGTACAGTAGGTGAATAATCTAAGGGTACTAATAATCTGTGACTCTTACAGCTGACAATACATGCTATGTACGGTCTATAAAATTGCCCTGATCCATCTGTCTTTGATCCTGTTCACAAGTCCAAGTGGAAACAGCAGACATTTTTAATTGTTGAAGTCCCAAGAAAGACAGAAATGCAGCGAGACCCCCAGAGCTTCAAGATTAACCTTTAACATGACCCAGTGACACTTTGCTTTTTGCTTGACTGTAGCCAGTCCCATTGCTCCCAATCCATGGTCACTTAATTAAAAATACATTTAAAAAGATGCCTGGACAAGCTGAAAAACCCAGAAGGGACTACATCAGTAGAATACTTCTCCTTTAATCCAGGAGACCAGGAGACTGAAACGTGTCTTACGACTCTCAACACAGCAGCCCACTTATGCTATCATCATGCAGGAGCTGTTTGAGGGCCACACAGAGAGTAATTACTAATATAAGGATATGACTAGGGGAAGATGCTACCGCATACTAAAAAAGTATAAGAAACCCTCAGAGTGAGGGGCTGTACTGCAGCTGCCTGTGGATGGCCAGTGGCTCGCTGATCACACGTCCTTCAGTACTTATTGAAATACTCGTTATCCAGTGCAAACACATTGCGATTCATCTCTATGGAGAGCCTGAGGGAAAATCAAGGGGAGAAGGACAGAGGGATAGGGCAAAATCATTGCAGCACAACAAAACACTGGATAGCCAAACCATTTCACGTCTCTCTGAGTGTCAGGCTTGGCACAGCCAGCTCAAAGATGCTTTACTACTTTCTTATTCTAGGTTTGCGATCTCCACATAGTTCACAATCCCATTTTATTTTCATGCTGTACAAATGATACTTGTATCTACAGTTGGCCGGCCACAAAACCTCACTGTAAGTGAAGTGAGCCTTGGTCTCAAGAGAGCAGCCAGTGTTCTATTCCAGGAAAAATAACAAAATCTTCCTTTATACAGCATATTAAAATAGTGGGAAATCACACCAATTTAGTGGGGAATATTTACTGATAATATGAAATACTCCATTGACATGCATCTCTTTAGTACCTTTTGTGTGTCTAGAGAAATGAGTTCCTACACTTGTGTTAACTAGCTATGGTTTTATAAAGAAGATCACATGAAAAGAACGAGCAGCACAGCTTTTAAAGAACTCCCTCCTTGCTGTTTTCCCCACAGACCTGATCTCTGTGTTCCACGTTGATGCTTGAGGCATCAGTTAACACACTTAGATGTGAGACAAAGCATTCAGAAGGAAATAGGGCAGGTAATGCACGCCGCACAAAGCTCACCAGCAAATCTGACAATCCTTGCTTGCTTTAAAACAACTGTGGATCCGCATACAAAAAGAACCGAGCAAGCAAAAAAACAAATCAAGAGGGACCACAGGCAGTGAGCTCACAATGTCCTCGTATCTCCTTGTTCACATTGAGCCTCACTCTGCTTCATCAATTACTCAATCTTCTATAGATTGTGTTTGATCAAAAAAATGGCAAGGTAAGTGAAATTGTTAGGAGAGGTGAGGACTGCCGCATTTCAAACAGGCTCATCCATTCCCAAGTGGCACCAGTGAATACTTAGGAAATGAGGAATATGCTTCTTGTGTGAAGCAACTGAATGACTGTGTTTCAGCTGTGCTGCATGCATGAACTGAAAGACTGCACAGGGCTAATGAAGGTCAGGAAGATGGAGGCTCATACTTACTGAGGGTTGGCCATGTTGAGAGATGTGGGCTGAGATTACATATGATTTCACCCAGTTCTAACTCCCGAGTAGTGTGCACAGGGAAGCAAATTTAAACATTGTGAACCTAAAGAAAGAAAAGAAGACAATTTCAATGAAAAGAAGGGATTTCAATGTGTACAGGCATACCCATCATTTTCATGTGGTATATTATGAATGCAGCACACCAGTACATCAAGCAGCACAAAATGAAATAGACATAAAGCAGCAACACTTTACAGGGAGGATGTATTTACTGTCCATAGCAATAACACATTTACTTGCATGGAGTTACCATGTTATTGTTTCTGTTGGTGATTTGCTTATTTTGTATACTGCATATTCCGTCCCCTTTTCTAACCATTTCTTCCAATTTTTGGTCTGCCTGTCCCCGGATGGGACACCAGTCCATCGTAGGGCAGACAGTCACAAGCGCAGACACACACACTCGCACGTGGGCCAATTTCCCGAGAAGGCAATTAAACAGTATATACTTGAAACCAGCGTACCTGCCAGCATGATTTTGGATTGTGGGAGGAAACTGGAGCACCTGGAGGAAGCCCACACAAACACAGGGAGAACATACAAACTCCACTCAGATAACAGTCCAGGTCCGGAACTGAACCCAGGGCCCCAACGCTGTGAAGCAGCAAAGCTAACAACTGCACCACCAAACTGCTCCTTACTGTATAAATTATTGTTTTCAATTATATCTACATATTTATTTCAAAATAATCATGTACTTCTGCAGTGGCACAGAACTATAAAATAGATAACACATGAAATACATTGCACAGAACATATATATTGTAGCATTGTAATGATCTGTAAGTACTATGTAATTACATACGTGGTCATTAAAAATCCCAGGGCGTTTCTCGAAAAGTGTAGGGGTGTAACCCAGGCGTCCTGGCCAAATTTCCCCATTGGCCTTTACCAATCATGGCCTCCTAATAATCCCCATCTATGAATTGGCTACATTACTCTGCTCTCCTCCCCACTGAGAGCTGGT